ATATAAATAAACCCGTTAAAACAAAAATGATTTATTTTAAAAATTTGTTTATTTATCAGTCGTTGTTTTATCGATATCCAAAACCTCTCGTTTTGAATTTGTGCAAATACATAAATTGTCATCGCATAAAGTATTAATTATCAGTACGTTATTTGCTATCAATTTTTATTGTTTGAAATATCATGAATTGATTTTTAATAAATTGTATTTTTTGTGAAAAAGATTAAAAATTGTTCGATTAATTTGTTTTGTGATTTTGATAAAAAAAATCGACTTTTTCGATAATTTCAATGTCTGTCAAATGTTTTCATATAAACCAAGGTTAATCTTGTGGTAAATCAGAAAATAGAAGTAGATTATTTTTTTGTAAAAATCAACTGAAAGAATCATCTTTCAAAAATCCATAAATAGCATTTTTAAAGAAAATCATGTGTTTCAAAATATACCTTTTTGATCTTAGGCAAAAAAATCCAAATTGAAAGAAATTATGTTTAAGATATTTACCATCCTCAGAAAAATTGACAATCCTCATGAATCCCTTAATTAACATTAATTTTATGACAACCACTTTTCTTGTATCTGAAATAGTCGATGCAACAAAATTTAACAACCTAACTAAAACGTGGCATTTCGAAGCAATGTATTGATAGCAACAAATTTAAACTTTTAATATCATCGAGTTGCAAAACAAAACGCGATTGTTTATAGGGTTTGTCAATCATTCAATACATACTCCGTAGCTTTTGCATTTTTTACTCACAAAATTTTTGTCTCATTTTTGTTTTTCTGTTTTTTCGAATAATGAGTGCACCTTTAATCAACAAAATACACTTTTCTTTTTGGAAAAATGCTTTTACCAAAATTTTTTTAGAATTGTGCAAAAAATACAGATTTAAAAATAAATCATATACATTTTATATTTAGAACTATTTTTAATTCCCGATCATTTAAGTCTTCATAGTGTATTATTTAAATAAATAAATTGAAAAGTTATCCAAAATGAACAAAATAACACTGCGATTATTGATTGTTTTAACCAACAGACATAAACGCCTTTTTACAAAAAATACAAAATATACATTAAAACTATTACAACTAAAAAACCCGGTTCTTAACAGAAATAATACACTATTGTCTAAAAAATAAAACCAAAACGGCAAAAAATACGACTATAACAGATATTTATGATGTATAGTAACGGGAAATATTATTAGATGAAACTTGAATATATAAAAAACCTCAATCTTAAAAATAATAAAATTATTTGTTAAATCGAAATCTTGACGTTTTCTTTCTTTTCAGTGTATTAATAATAATAATATAAAGTAAAAAAACTTTTCAAAATAATAATTAAATATATAATAAATAATATCTAAAAATAAAAAAGAATATTAATAACACATATATCCAAATAAAATAACTATATTAAAAATTAATAACAACTATTTATAAATAGTTAAATGAATCTACAAAAAATCACATTCAAAAAAAAACTATTAATTTTTATATTTTTTAATCATTAAATATAATTTTAAAAACTTATAGAGAAATATTGATTGATTTAATTAACGAAAATGTTATAAATATAATATTTTTAATTATAATAATTCAATTTGTTATAATATATAAAAAATAAAAAATGTGTTAATTAAAAAAAGATAATAATAAAACTAACTATTC